CTCATAGTTGGCCTGATTTAGTGGCAGCCAGGAATCTGGGCTTGAATAAAGACAGAGAGAGCGAGGGCAGAGTGGGAGAGAGGGAGAGAGGAAAAGATAGCTCCCCGTGTGATAAATAGCCCCGGCTCTCTCTATTGCATTAGCCGTCCGGGCCGATAGATTGCGAGCCCAATAGACCCAGACGTATGCGATTGGTTTCTCATATAAAAGTTGCATATTAAATTCCTTCACAGGACTGTGCCCCCCAAGCATGAAGGAGGGAAGGAAGAAATAGGAGTGAAAAAGCAGAAAGTAGAGAAAGGAGTGGAAGAGCAAGAAAAAGGCTTTTTATGAGAGGCGAGGCGAAGGCAGAGAGTTGGGGAAGCCGGAGAAGAAGGGGGAAAGATAATGGCAGGAGAAAAGTAGCTTGATGGTAGAAAAGACAAATGGTGATGTCATGTATTTAATAGGTCCGCGGATATTGGGCGATGAGTGCGACCGTGCGTCCATTTAATCAGTATTGCTTCCCAATGAAGATTTCTCTCTTGTTTTGCGCTTGCTCCCCCCTTCCTCTGTTCTCAGCCGCTCTCCACATGCTAACGACCTCTCTAATTGTTTCCAAGCTCATTAAGATGCTGATGTTTTAATAGTAATTAATCCGTCATTTGCCTACATGCAAACACGGGCCACTGAGGTTTGTTCATCGCTGTTTCAATACACTGATAATGCAGTAGCCTAGTCAAAGGAGACAATATCCTGCTAATTTAGCTCATCACTGTTAATTGGTTGTTAAGTGCCTTTAATTACCAAGCAGGCTTTGGGATTTAGGTCGGCAGAAAGAGGGGGACTGCTATGATTGTCCCTGCCGCTGTAATGGATCTTGTGTGAACTTTGAAAACTGGAATAAATGACCAAAGGGTGAAAAGAGACACGCGTTGACCCCGTTCTGTTTTATATCTCTGTCGTTTTCTCCCTCCTCATTTCCTTTTCTTCTCCTCCTCTCCTTTCCTCCGTCCTCCCGTCCCTTCCTTCATCTCTGTCTCACTCCCCATCTCTTTCTCCATGATATTATTAACTCATTAAGTTTTTTTCATTATTTTTAATAAAAGATGAGTTATGGCTTTAGCCTCACTGTGGCAGCATCCCCCCCCCGCCCCCCATCCTCCCTCCATCCTCCATCCTCCCTCCTCTCTCCCTTCCCCTTCAACCAATTGCTCCCTCCCCCTCCTTCCCCCCACACATTTTCCTCCCTCCTTCTTGGACATATTGTGCCTCCTCCGATATGTTTGACCCCTGACATGCGGTTTCTGACCTTGGTGTTGCTGGTTACAACCTTCTGGCCATCTTCTTTGCTTTCGCCACAGTCACTCACATCTATCAATCATCTCTCTTTCTCATAGCGCTGAACAGTCTTTAGATGGCATTCATAAGATTTATGATTCATGATGCCCTCTCTTCTGTGTGTGTGTGTGTGTGTGTGTGTGTGTGTGTGTGTGAGAGAGAGAGAGAGAGAGAGAGAGAGAGAGAGAGAGAGAGAGAGAGAGAATGGAGGGAAGGAAAAAGGGAGAAAGAGAGACAAAGATAGAGGCGAGAGAGAGAAGAAGAAGGAGAGGGGCTTGTCGATGACACAGTTGAATAATGACAATATCTATGATTGATAGCTTATACAGAGCTAGTCGGGTGTGTGTACTGTATTTGTGTGTGTCTGTCTGTATGTGTATGTGTGTGTGTGTGTGTGTGTGTGAGAGTGACAGAAAGAGAGTCCATATGTTTTGTTTCCCCCCCACATTAATCTGATGTTAAAGAAGCAATGATGAATGGTTTTCATGTCGTTTGAGCTGTTGATGGTCAGGAGATGGAGACGAGTCGCGAGTGACCAGAATTACCAAGAGACACATGTATGATGTTTATGTAGCAACAGAGGCACTCAAGGAGATGAAAGCATAATAAATGTCTTTCAGTTAGAGCGGACGGAGCACAGATAAGACCAACTCTCTGAGTTATTAACTGCTTTGGTTTTCAGCCATGAAAAACCCCAAATGAAACATTTACTGCATCTGTTTGTCATTTTCCTCTCACTGTGAGTCAGATTTTTTAAAAGCCTTTTTAAAGGCACTTAAATGATACATTGTTTGTTATTATGTTAATAAAATACTCACTACTCAGTGCATGGAAAGAGTTGTTCACTGTAATCATTCCTCCCCAAGAAGTAATCCCTTCTAGCGCTGATACACTGTAAGTGACTGGGGACTAAATCCAGTCCTTGTTCCGTGCAAAGATGCATCCTAATGTTCATCTGAGCCTAATAAGAGGCTTCAGTGGTCGCGCTACAGCCAAAGTTAAGCGAGTATCTTTCAGAGTCACAGTCTCTTTAGTGAGAAATTGTTCTTTATGTTTCTTGCGGAGCCACACTGGAAGGATACGTCCTTGTAGTCACATGTCTGTATTTTACAAACTGCCAGGCTAAAGATACGGTCCTGTTACCCTTCTGTTCAACAAAATAGCTCTGTACACAGCATTAAAAAAAAGACACAATTTTGAGGTTTTTCATGAGGGTAATGAATAAAGATTGCTCAAAACACTGACTGTGAACTGTTTGAAAGCAACGCTATAATTTGTTGTCTAGAAGTGTGATGATGTATGTGTGTATATAAAGTATTGATACTTTGTAGATACCACATGCTTAACATGATACGATTACAGTTAATTATGCATTTGATGGTATCAAAGCTATCAAAAACAGATCTACAGTCAGGTTTCCAAACCAATGCTGCACAGATGAAACAACGGACAGGAAAATGTTTATGTCCTCAACCCATGGCCAGGAGTGTGTTGCCATTTATTTAAGTGCCAGAGTGCACCTGTGATGCACCAACCTGGTCTCACTCCAAACTTGTTGAAATTTGGCACTCGGTCAGTGATTTCTCGTGTCAGACACTGATGAATAAAGCTATCCTTTCATGTTGACATGATACACAGCCAGTCGGCATTATAGTTGAACGGCGCCTGGCGGCATCAGGGGGACACGCGACGAAAGTTAAGGTGGCGAAAATCCGCGTAGGGCTGGTGGGTCAAACAGCCACCAACTTTCACCCAGATGCGTTTGTTGTTGAAGTAAAAAAAACGTTAATACGTTGTCGTACCGCCGTAGTGCGTTTATTTTGAAAGAGACTGTATGCAAACTGTACATTTCCTGTGAAAACATAAGAGTATGTTGAAAACAGAAGATGCATGTAACAGGCTAAAGTTGACACAGCGTCCTGGAACGTCAACAACCAACGCACCCATGGTACCTTGTATGTTGTATCTTGATGTGGAAAGTCCATGACTAAACATCTATATGTGATGAGGTCAGAATACGAATGAGTTGGACGAACACACATGCATAACACTGTGCCTATGGTTATGAGTTTACATAGGCTATATTCGTCAACTGTAACTATCAAATAAAGAGATTTTTTTTGCTGCCTTTTCGTGTTTACTAGTTAACAGTTAGCAGCTGTAGAGAATATAAAGGTACGTCATGCCATGTGGGATGTGAGCACCGTCATCTGAGGAATGCACTCTGTTTTCTCTGCTACCAAAGTGTTTGCACTCAGTCCAAAAACAAAGTAGTTTACAATGTCTGGGAATGTGAGTGGTGGTACTGCACCAGGGTCTGTAATCTAGGCTTGGGCTTCAAAGTCGTATGATTCAGTGTTGTTTATCGAAAGTAGTTTGTCCAAATACCATTTCCTAACAGGCACAGGTAACAGAGCATGATCCAAGATGGCACCCCCGCCCATAAGTAATAACTTCATGTTTTTAACTGCTATCACACTACAACCAAACACGATGCATTTGGCTGAGAGTCAATGGTTAACACGATCACTCGTTCACTGAATCACCAGCAATTTTTAAGTTAGAATGTTTTCATGTCACTCAATACATGAATTGATGTTTTGAATCAATTGACACACCTTAAATGTCAACATGACAACATTGAACATTACACTGGTTTTTATATGATGATTGGATCCTCAAGCACATAAAAAATGTCTATGCATTTCAACCAGATTATAGGAAATACTCTATTTCCTCACTTGTAGAAAAAAGCCCTGTGCTGGTGCTCTACAGCAGCGCTACACCCCTACCTGTGGCTGTTACGACATTCTCTCCAGTAACGCACCCACCAGGCAACTGGAGGTGTGTGTTCAGTGACTTTTTCAGTACCAGGACTGTGTGCAAAAAAAACAAGATTATCCTAGTATTTTGTGTGCCGAGGACTTGTCTTTTTGCTGTGGTATCGAAAGAGGCATCAAGTATTGTCGATGGTATAATAAATTCTACATTTTGCACATGTGCATCCGGGTTTCAGTTGGCTCTCCACTGTGCATACTCCTCCTTGATATGATTCAAGGTGTGGTATTTTGTTGTTGCCAAGCTTTAATGTTAATGTATGTTTTTGTCTATCTGTGACTCTCTACCATAACTCATAAAGAGCAGAGCCCTTTCCACCAAATCAAACTGTAAAACCATTTTCTATAAATAGTTAAAGGATTGACAGAAGTGTCTCTGACTGACTGAGGACTGTGTATTTCCTCCCTCATATTTTACAACATAGTCATGGAAGAAAGGAATCACTTCCTGGCAGACAGGAAAGACAGAGTAAAATCTGTTGAGCCGAACTGAAGAAATGACTACCTTAGTTGTTATAAATACCAAATAAGTGTTTCCGTGTGGTTGAATGGTTTGTAAACCACCTCCATCACTTGTTTCCAGCCAGTACCTGACATGCAGATGGATATTATGTACACTTCAGTGTCAGTCCTCAAAGGAAATAGCTTGAAGTATGGAGAAGGTTAAGTGTTAATGTGGCAATAGTTTGAGGCAATGTGTGCTGACAGCTGTGATGAATTGTTTCCAATGTACTCGTGTTACCACTCATGGTGTTTTCTGCATCATCCCACATGATAATCCCCATCCATACTTAACTACAGCACATCTGTACTGCCTCCGAGAATGGTAGTATATATTATAGTCTTTATTTAAGCTGCCCTTTATTGGTACAGTATGGTTGTAATTTTCTGTTTTGTAGAAACAGTTCTCAGTTACTTTTACAGTATGATACAATACATTTGCTAGCTTTATGCCACTGAGTGAGCAACAGCAGAGACACGATCTGCGTTCTTCGAAATAGACACATAACATTAAATGCTACACATTCAAATGTCACAACACATTTTACATAAAGTGATAATAATAAAAGTCCATTTATCACTTTTTCTCTTCCATTCTCTCATGTTGTGAAACATTTCCAATTATTTTGTCCAGGTTAAAGTTGTGATACTTTGTGTTTCCACTGGAGTGCACTCTTGAGTCAGCATAAAAAAAATGTAGCTCATTAAATTGATGACCAACAAGTTATCGGGCTGGTCTCATTTAGTTCTCCAGAGCTTCAGTACTATTCACAGTTAGATCAAGAGCATATCAGGGCCATGTTTTGCTCTGTGTGTTGGTTGGCTGCAGTGGAAGGATTTTGTTAGACAACTTAGCTCCATCCACATAGAAGCATCATCACATGTTCGATCCTGGACGGGTGGAGGCCGGCTGTCTGCGCACAGTTGGTTCTTGCTGATGAGGTGTGGAGTTGCTGAGGTCCCATTTTGTCCCACTGTTGTTTGTTGAATTACAGAGAGAGTGGTTACTAACAGGCGGAAGAGACACACAAATCGAGAGGATTCAATGACTTTGGGGGAACAATATGCGGAAGGAAAGGAAAGAATCATTCACTTAATAACCACCATGGTGAGTGTGGATGAGCTCCTACTCTTGGTAGAGAGACAAGTCAGTTTGCTGCATCAATAACTTTAATGTTGTAGGAGGTTAACGTGGGTGCTAGGGGGGTTAAAGGTTGTGTGCACGTACAAAAAATATTGCTGAGAAACTGCTGTAATAATACTATTTTTAAGAGACAATACTTTTTATATTTCTTTAGCTGTAAAAACAATAAAAAATAAAATATTTTTAATTAAGCAAAAGTAAGCAAGTTTAGATAAAGTAGAGAAATTAACAATAAAAAATGAATAACAATAATTTTTCCTGGTTACAGTGAAGCCACCTTTTTTTTTTTTTTTTTGTGAAAACGATCATCCACTATTTGCAGTATTATCTGTAAAAAAAATCTTTCCCAATTGAATACAGTAGTTGTGAGATGTAAAATTAGCTTCCTGTGCGAGTGCTGTCAGGATCTCTCCTCTTAAAGACATGACAAGGCATCATTAGTTTGTTTCTTTTCCATGTATCTGACTATATTCAGTCGGCCTGTCACAATATTTCTGTTATGAACCTATCAAGGTCAGCAAATAGTATCAAGGCCATGTCCATAAATCATATGATATTGCCTTTGGGCTTACATGAACATTTGTTTCCATAACAATATCACCAAAGTTTTAGCCAACATGATGCTAGAATAAACAGCAGAGTCTTTATGGCCATTATGAGACTTGGGTGCAGCACCTAAGGTCAATGAGCAGGAAAAAAACAAACAAGAACATGCTATATTTCTCTGTATTTTATTCATTTTTAAAAATTTCAGATGTATTTTTTTTTTCCACATTCCAATTCCAGTATTAGAATATTCTTAATTTAATGTTTATTGCTCTTTGATGGTTTTCATACATTATTATACTGTTATATTGTCATCATATAGGTGGAATAAAATGGTCTTAAATTAACAATAACATTTTGTATCACAATTATTTTTGGGACAATAAATTGTCCAACAAAAGTAGTTCGCTTGACAAGCGTAATATCATATACTGGTATGACAAGTATCATAACACAGTGCTCATGTTGGCTCACATGGTGAATTTTGATAAGTGTTGTTTGACTTTGCACTTTTTATGTATTTAAGTGGCAACTGACACATTTTTGCTTTAACTTGCCATTATGAAGTAAATTTGGATTGCACAATGTAATGGCTGTTGAATAATGGCACAGTGGTTCCCTATAAGCCTCACCCCACTCTGCAATTTTTTCTGCCACCGGGTACGATCTCCTGGGGGAACAAAGCCATTTCTTAAACCATTGCACAACCAAAACAAGAAGATGATAGCCTAACTCTTTTGTTTTCCCCAGTAGCTATCCCTAGTTACGTAAGATTAACAGTGTAACTTCTGTGCAGATACTATGCCCAGTAGTGGAAATGGTGGACGGTGAAACAACAGAACTAACTGTGTAAGAAAATTAAAGTTAAAGTTGTCTGTTTCCACTTTAAAGTGCATTTACTGATCTCAAGATTGAATGCGGCAGTTACCAGAGAGCCTTCACAATGTATTTGTAGTCAAGAAGCAACAAAAACTACTTTTGTTTTTCTGTTGCTTTAACTAATAAACACTTTACAAAGCAGCACAGACAAAGAGCAAACCACTTAGTCAATACAAAGAAACGAGAGCAGGATGTGAAACTGGATAATGTATCTCCTCTGTGCTGAAAGGAAATTTCTTGGCCTAATAAGCATATTGCCATATGGCCTGATGCACTGTGAAAGACACTGTGAGGATCTGTGTGTCACAGTTCATTTGTTCTGGGCCTGACATGCTCTGTGTTGGCAATGGGGATGTCAGTGTGTATATCTACTTACGTGGTGTATTATGGGTGCTCCTACTGCGGCGCTGAGGGCTTCCAAGTAGAGGAGCTGTAAATCTCTGTCCATCTTTTTGTCTGTCTGTTGCTCTTTTCCTCTTGGGCTGATGGATTCTGGTTCTTGGTTGCAGCCGCGGTACAGTGAACACAGCACCCACCTCACCAGCACAGGCTCAGCACGACCTGCAATGAATGAAAAGGTTAGAGAAGTAGAACATTTGTGTGTGACTGATTTAGCTTTTGTGTTTTATAGTAAGACAGAGATAAAATATATAAAACAGTGCAATAAGCTACTGAGAGCAACATGTCACATCCAGCATAATGCACTTGATGACAGTCCTGTCTCACCCTAATTTGAATATGAAGTATCACTCTTTTTAAAGTAGTTGAATTATAATTGATGAGTTTTGAGTCACGACTCTACATTCAAGAACTCTACTGCTGACATTAATGTCTCTGCATCATGTTCAGTCATGGACAGGATAAGTATTTGCTGATTATAATTTACCTTTCATTGCCATTGACATCTGTGGCAGCAGTGCCATTTGCAATTTGGATAGTAGCTGTGGATGTCCCGCTGTTCATTTCTTGAAGCATAAAGTTTTGCTCTGCTAGACCTGCCCTGCAGGTGGCGGGGGTGTGGCCACACAGCAGTGTCACCTCTGTAAGCTGCTCTCTGGCTGAGAGGGGGAGAACAAACAGGAAGAATAAAAACAGGAGGAACAGGATGAGAACAAATAATGTATTCACACTGGTTGCAACAGTGTGTTGGTCATAAACAAATGAAACTAATTCTGAAACTGTAAATTTACCTGTGCACTATAAAGGCACAGTTCAGCCCCAAATCAAAAACACATATTTCCCCTCTTACCTGTAATGCTGTTTATTAATATAATTATTTGGATTTAGTTGCTGATTGTTGGAGATATTGACCATAGAGATGTCTGATTTCTCTTGGATACAATGGAACCAGATGTTGCTCAGCTTGTGGTGCTCAAAGCACCAGAAAAATACATTTGAAAAACTCAACAGCGATGTCTCTTTCCAGAAATCATAACCAAGTTACTCAAGATAATCCACAGACCTTGTTGTGAGCAGTTTCATACAGGAACTATTTTCTCTCTAACTGACTACACCCACCAACTGTATCACTGTGCAGAAGGAAGCGTGCATTTACTGCTAACACACCCAGCACCACTGAGCTTGCTAACATTACAGCTCAGCCGGGGAGGACACCATTAATGTTTGTTTCTCGCGTTGTCACAAGCATAGGGCTGTCATGATAACATTAATATGTTCTATGTGTGCTATCTACATGTTTTTTCTTTCTTTTTTTATGGGAGAACTGCATATTTATACTATGCTACAAATGCCAGCAGCATGATTACCTGCTGAGTGCTGCACGTGTGGGCGTTTTTGTCTGGTCGCTGAGAGTTGAAACATAATTATTCAACTTTGTGTGAAACACTGCCGCCTCTCATCACTGTCACTTTTCACACAGCTGTCCACACACAGAGGAGGAGGGTTGGGACAAATATCACAAAGATCAACCATCACATCGCTGAACAGCAACACCAGAGGAAAAATGAATGTTGAACCCACATATACTGATGGGTCCATCCTTTTTTCCCACCTGCTTCAGCCTTCCCTTCATCCAGAGGACGTACTCTTCCTTGTGCGGATATCTTTACTTTCGTGGATATTCAGTATGACAGCAACCAGAGGCAACCACAGCTGAAAATGCTGCGTCCCTTTTTGCACTTTATTACTCTCATATTTTTTTTTGCTTTAAACAACAAACAAGAACTAAATTTGGTTCAAAACTGCGTCATCTTTGTCATTTAAAAAGCAGCAATATACCTAATAACAGCCTAACAATAAAGTTTATTTACAAAGCTCTAAAATCAAGATAAATAACATAATTCCCAAAATCAACAAAACATTACGTTAATATCGCATATCTCACTGTTGAGCCACCCTTAATCACAGCAGCGGAAATTTAATCCCCAGTACAGCCCTACACAAGCATTAGCCTCTCGTCTATGAGCAGCTGCACACCTCCTTCTGCGCAGTGATACGGTCGTTGGGTATAGAAAGAAAATAGATATAGCAAGCTGAGTGCCATGTAGCTCCATTATATTTGAGAGAAAGCAGACGTCTCTACAGCTGATATCTCTAACTCTCGGAAATTCATACCAAATTAATCAAGATGGATAAATAACATACATGTAAGAGGGAAAATAGGACGTCGTGATTTTGGAATGAGCTGTTCCTTTAAGCTTTCTACAGCTTTACCTGCTGTCACAGTGGGAGATGGCTGTCGGCTCCTCCACCCACTGTAAGAAGGGCATCGACATCTCAGTAGATGACTGTAGGCTGACCTAAAGTCCCTGTTGAGGGCTCCATAGAGGATAGGGTTAAAGGCTGAGTTGGCGTAACCCAGCCACAACACAACAGGGAATGATGGTACTTTGCTTGGGTCTGGATTCTCCTCCAGGCCCAACACTGTGAAGAGGATAAAATACGGCAGCCAGCATACAACAAAAGCCCCTATCACTGCTGCCAGTGTCATTGTGGCTTTGTGCTCCCGCAGAGCCACTGCTGTAATACTGGTAACCAAAGTGATACTGCTGGAAGGATTGTTCCTGCAGTTGTTACTCGTGCTGCTATTGGGTCGGGCACTGACAATGCGTTTGGCCTGTGCCCGTGCAATCCGAAGTATTTGGAGGTAGGTCCAGCACATAGCCACCAGAGGCAGATAGAAAGTGAGCAGAGAGTCAGTGAGGGCGTAGGGTCTGTTCAGCTCAAAGCGGCATCTCCCCTCTTGAGCCCAAGGCCCATAGTTCTGCACCGTGCCATTTACAGTATTCCACCCCATTTGGATGGGCAAGAAAGACACGGCCACGGACACTGTCCAAACACTGGCCATGGCCACAGCAACTCTCCATGGCAACACCAGTGAGGCGTATCTCAGAGGCATGGTCACTGCCAGGTAGCGGTCCACACTGATGGCCAGGAGGGTGAGGATGGAGGCAGTGCACAGCATGACATCCATGGAGATGTAGAAGTTGCAGAAGGATGGGCCGAGCGGCCACTCGTTGGTGAGCTGGAGGAGGGCGGAGAAAGGGAGAACCAAGAGGCCGAGCAGCAAGTCTGTCACAGCTAGAGACACAATGAAGCAGTTGGTGAGGCAGCGGAGGCGTCGAGAGGCGCAGACAGCCAGGCACACCAGCACATTACCGCCGACAGTCAGAAGGATGAGGAGGGACAGTATGGCACCCAACAGCACTTGTGACAACATTATCGCTGGTGCTTCACCGGAGACAATCTGATGATGTCATCACTGGAGCTTTGTGTGAACCATTGTTACTTTTTAGTTTCAAACTCAATGTGAGGTCTCACTTTTTTTTGCAAAGAGGACATTCACATAATGAGCCTTAGGCTCGCATGTAATGTTATTAAATATGTTCACGCAGAGCGCTCGAGTGCTCCCATTTATTAAGGTGCATACAATCTAATCTCGGGGTCTCCATGGTCAAATGTGACTTAAGATCTTGGCCCTTTTGATCCCTCAGCGTCTTTCTCCCAATATTTCCTCTTCGTTTCTAATTTACTTGACAGTTTGCTGTTCTTGCTGGGCCTGAATCATAGCTTTTAACTCTCCTAGGACTTGACCACACCAGCACTCATGACAATATTCATCAAAACAACTACTACAGGAATATGGTCGCACAACATTTTTAATAAATGCTGCTCCTGAGAATTACTAAATTAGCAGTACGCCTGGCTGTCGAAATATTTGTGATGGCTGTTGAACAGCTTCCTGTCTGTGTTGCGGAGTCCTGGTGGTCCATGGTCTCATTTTGGCTTCAGCACCATCTTCTATGGCTGCGGTGACACCTAGTGGACAGAGATGAAAAACACAGTTAGTAATCAGCACAGTGGTTCCTGTAGTTTCAGATACTGCATAGCCATGCATACACACAACAAAGAGCAGTTACTTCATTTTGGTTAGGTTATAACTGTAACTTTTAATATATAGTTTATAATTTATAGTTGATGTATTGAAATAAAACAACTATGACTGGATGAAAAAAAACACCTATGGGTACATTCTCATTACTCTTCAGTGTAAAATATTGAGACAGTCTTTTTATCAGTGCATGTGTCTTTGTGTGTGTAGTATAGCTTTGGCCTCTGAGCCTCTTTTTTCCATCTATGGACTGATACAGTGCACTAAACGACGAAATCAACTAATGCAGACTATTCAAAATATTATTGGACAAACACAGTCACTAACTGACATGAGAATGGAGAATATAAAGAAATCAAGTAAAACAAAACTAAATATGTGAAGTGCTGATTTGGCAACAGGTTTGTAGCAGCTGATAAAAATGATAAATTAGCACCCACTGTCAATGATTTACAGCTTGTTGGAAAAAGTTGAAAAAATCTGCTTTTGGATCGAGTAAACTCTGAAGACTTATGTTGAGACACAGTTTTTGTTCTGTGATAAGGTTCAAATAAACAGTGTGAAAAGATTTATCTCAAGACTAAGCAAGACACTGCCGATCTGTGGGCGCACACACACACACACACACACACACACAAATTGTCTTTCCATACCTGTCCTTTTTCCTCACTACATAGTTGTACATTTTTCTGGGGAGTATGTTCAATACTTAGGACATTTGTTTTCCCCAGTGTGATGAAAGTAGCAGAGAGTTTTATTCTGACGAAATTAAGACAGTTACACCAAAAATTGATGCAGCAAACGCACAACTTAGTGCATCAAAAATCAAGACAATGCAGTCAATTAAGTGTTTCATGTTCATCATTTTCTGGCAGAGGAGCCCCAAACCCCTCATGCTGAAATGAAACCTTCGCCTTTGCCTCACTGCGAAGGTATAAAACTAAAATTGGTCCTCAAAAGGACAGCACTACAAGCACATCTGCACGTGAACTAAATTTAGTTCCGGCATGCTTGATTGCTGAGTTGTGAAACAAAACTTCTTCATAGTTGATGTGTGATTCTAAAGTCAAGCCTTGCGTGCATGGTAAAGAATTCAGTATGGGAGTGCCACAGTAATAGTTAGTCCAGTCACAAAAATTATGTATCAGTACTGCTGCAAGTTGCTGTCAAATGTAAAGGTATTTGTTACTTATAACTTTCAGTTATTACAAGCAAAAGTAAAGCTGACATTTTACACAGTCAGCTAATGGAAATTCCAGTCTATCTGTAATAAAACCATGAACCAGGACAGTAGTTTGTTTGGCTTTGGTCAAGATGTGTAACTGTGTAAACAGCCAGCATGGCTTAGTGCCTCTAAACAATCTGCTGCAGCTGAGGTGATGTCAGGTCTTGTTTTGGTTTCAGTATTGTTAAACATGATTAACATTTTGATGTAGCAATGCCTCAGGCGGACGGTTCGGCCTGACTGATGAGGGAAATATGATTAGAGCTGATGAATATGATAATAAATGTAGTGACCAAATAATGCCCATGAATAATAAAGACAGGTTTTTGATCAAATGGCATGTAAAAATAACGTCTGCTAGTAAAGTAAATACTTTTTGGCAAAAGATAATTTCTTATCGATATTGAGGTGACAGTATTGCAGTGCTGTTTATCAGTCTAGATCAGTGGTTCCCATCTGGTGCAGCCACAGGGTCCAGATTTCTTCTCAGTCATTAGTTCAAGGTCTACACAGATTAATGCATTCAGTGTCATGCTTGTGTTTGGACATGTCATCGAGTTAGTTTGCTGTCATCTTACAGACTGTGAAATAACAAAAATCAAAATAGGCACTTCAAAATAAAAGCCCTGTGCCAGAAATTCACTGCACTTAAAATAAGGTTTGTTTTTACAGACTACAGACTTGAGTCACTTGCGGTCCATTCAGAATGGACCCGACACCCACTTTTGGACTGGCATCTACCAGTTGGGAACTACTGGTCTAGGTTTTAGTGTGACTTAATGAGTGTTGGCGATATCGGCCGTAGCAGTGTTTGCCTTCACTCCAATATAATGGAACTACATGGCACTTGGCTTGTGATACTTAAAGCAGCAAAACAAAACAACTGATAAAGTCAACCACTGGTTTCGGACAGTGAACCATGGGCTCTAAATCTGAGGCCATTGTGCTCTGCCGGAAACCAGTGGATTGCCCCCTCTGGGTTGGGGGAGAATTACTGCCTCAAGCGAGGGAGCTCAAGTATCTCGAGGTCTTGTCCACAAGTGAGGGTAGAAAGGAGCGTGAGATGGATTGGCGGTTTGGTGCAGCTTCTGCAGTGATGTGGGCGCTGTGCTGGACCGTTGTGGTGAAGTGAGAGCTGAGCTGGAAGACAAAGCTTTCGATGTACTGATCCATCTACATTCCAACCTTCACCTATGGTCATGAGCTCTGGGCAGTGACCGAAAGAATGAGATCGCGGATACAAGCGGCCGAAATGAGGGTTAGGGTTAGGGTGTTTCAGGCATGTCCTATTGGTAGGAGGCCCTGTGGCAGACCCAGAACACGCTGGAGGGATTACATATCTTATCCGGCCTGGGGACACCTTGGGGTCCCCCAGGAGGTGCTGCAAAGCGTTGCAGGGGAGAGGGATGTCTGGGGTGCTTTGCTTGGCCTGCTGCCCCCGCGACCTGACCTTGGATAAGTGGATGAAAATGGATGGATGGATGATAAATTCAACCACAATGTCTCTTTCTAGAGATCATAAGCCGGTTACTCAAAATAACCCACAGATGACGTTTTGAGCAGTTTCATATAGGAACTGTTTTTTTTCTATTGAACTACACCTGCCAGCCGCGTCACTGTGCAGATGGAAGTGAGCATTTACTCAAAGACACTAAAACAACCTAGATTAAAAATAATTGATCAATAGTCCTGATTAATAATTTTACCCATAATAATAAAACTATGGGTAAAAGGAAAAATATGTATTTTTGATTTTGGGGTGAACTTTCCCTTTAAAGTTTCTGTTTCTTAGACCTTGTGGAGTTTTATTTGTCCTCTGTGAACTCACTCATTAATGGCATGTGGGCATGAGTTTTTAATGTGTGCTTGGTGGAATGAGGGTAACCACTTGATAAGTGAGGATGTGTGTGTGTCGGTGTGTCGGTGTGTGTGGAGTCCATGTGTTTGCGTCAGTGGGTGGTGGGTAATGTTTGCTCGTCTATTTTCTAACACTGTAATGGATGTTGGGAAACTTGCCAGATTTGATCCAGAGCCGCTCACTTATCACCTCAACGAGAGAGAGGGAGGTGGAGAGGTGAACGCCACCGGCTTCACATGAAGATGTGCAGAAAGAGCATTAGCTTACATGATAAAAGAAAATCACAGAATGACAGGTTTTAATTAAATCTCGGTCTACGAAAACCACACCACCATCTCTAATCTTTGAACTCTTTTAATCTTCGCTTCTTTTGTTCCGTGGACACATTTCTGTTACAGACTCGCTGCTTTGAACTTCATCCAGCGCAAACACTGATAACAAAGCCACTAACGTATGAAGTGCAGCTCTCAAATGCACATGACATCTCAGTCTTTATATTTGACAGAACCACAGGCTGACTCACCAGGAACACACATTTCTGCTGTTTTCATCAGCCAAATCTGTCTCTCACACACTGACAGTCACTGTCTTGCTTTGTCTCCCACACAAACACACACACACACACACACACACACACACACACACTTGCTCACAGTAGGAATGACTTTTGGCTTGGATCCAGCGCAGGCCTGTGAGGAATGTCCACATATGGACATGTGTTGCAGTCACTAGAATTTTTTCAGTAACCTAGTCTCAACCCTGGGACATAAGGGTATATGAGGGTGTGTGTGTGTCTGTGTGTGTGTGTGTGTGTGTGTGTGTGTGTGTTCACACAGGCATACTTGATATCTACTTTCAGCCAAACGCATTAGTTCCTTTTCCCATGTTTCAGTGCATGTGTGTGAGAGCACAACCATATTGGTTTCCTGTTTATTTTTGCATAAACATTTGTGTTTTTATAAGAACCATATTAATATAACAATCCTGTCCACTCACTTATCAAGAACCACCAAGTAAGCCAAGTAAGACTTATGTGGTGCAAATAACGTACATGCATTTTTATTTTATCAAGTCGCTGTTGGTCTGCAGCAGTGTTACTCAACTTACAACCCCCGAGATAGGCCCTATCTGGCCCACCGATAAAGTGCTGGGTGGCCTGCCGACCATTTTTTAATTCACAGTGATAATACATTGATTCACATTGGGATTTTTTGTGCACTTTAATTGTAAAAAAAATGCAGAAAATTGAGCTTATTTATATAAAAAAAATGCCAGAGGAGTCAACTCCCTGTTTGAGGTGCAGGCCACACCACGAATGTCTGATGTCTGATCTGTGCGGAGCTGCTGCGACTGGATTTGCCTTGTTTACTCACTTTATCTGATTACATTCTTAATGTTTGTTTATTAACTGGCCCCAGGCCTCCTGTCATTTTGCAAAATTGCAAAGCAAGCCGAGTCTTCCTGGTCTACGGTTACAGTAAAAAGTCCCAGCGAAAGTCAGTGAAAAGTCATCCGCCTCAATGTTGAAGTATGATCCCCTACTATAGTAAATAAAGCATCACTCATTCAGACAGTCTGCTACTTTATTACTGACCATCTGTTTTACTTCACAAACTTCTCATTAGTTGTCCCTAATGGAAAACAAGTGTGAGTGTTGCTACATCTGTATATACAATCGCAGACACACTCGCATGTAGGCGTGCATGCACACAGCCTGAAACATATGTCTTAGTAATGGATTTTGAGGACTGTAATGGATTGTAATGATTGCTGAGTGCTGTGTTTTCCACAGGATGTAAAGGCTGCTCTACTTTCCGTGGTTTTCTGCACCGAGAAGAGACAAC